TTGGGTTTAGAGGGGTCTGTACGAGTCGTACTGTACTGTCAGACTTTGTTTTACCTCCGGGAGCACTTGTGTTTGGCGGGTCGGTGTCAACTGGTTTGCTTTTGTGATGGATTCGGGTAAAAATAGCGAGACTTTATTCTTTTCCTTGCGGTGGGACTGATCCAGAGGGATGCCAACACGCACGCACTCTATGGGGAGACTGTATATAGTCTCAGAAGGTGTATTCACCATATATATATATGTATATGTAGATATATATTATTCCCCCCTCCCCGGAGGAAATGTCGGTGGAGAAAACGCCGGTGTTACCACTTAAACCAACCCGACCAAGCCCGGGGGCCCTTCCCTGCGCTCCCGGAGCAGCGTGGCCACCGTGGACCCGCGGCTACTGCCCGCTGAGCCCGGGCTTCGCTGCCGCCCTCGCCTCGCCGGTGCCGGGGGTGTCGGGGAGCCCCGTCCCCCTCCCCAGCAGCCGGCCGAAAAGGACGGCGGCGCTGGATGTCCCCCCAAAGCCCGGCCGAGCAAGGGGGGCGGCAGCTGGCCCACCGGCCCGGTACCGCCGGGGCTACCTTCACCCCGCGCTGACGAATTCCCCTCTTTGTTTTTTTGACTTCCCTTCCAGAGACAGCGAACAAACGAGCCCCGAGCGGGCAGGAACAGCGAGCCCGGGGGCTCGTCCTGGGTTTTAAGGAGGCAGGGGCAGCGCGCTGGGCCGCGGCGGGGGCTGCGGGCTCGGACGCGGGGCGCGGCGGCGGCGGAGCTGAGGAGCCGTGTCGGGGATAAACGGCCGCTTCAGCAAACCGGCGGCTCGGGAGGGGACGGCGAGGGCCGGGATTTACTGAGAGCAAACCCCAGCTTTTGCAGCGGACCTCGATGGTGGCACCTGATAACCGTGATTATTACAATAACGGTTGTCGGGCTCTGACCAGGCGCCGTCGAGCCCGCCGGTGCCGTGGCTAGAAGTTATTTTCCATCACCTGCCGGGTCCCCCCGCGTTAAGCTCGCCGGACAGACCGTCCCGGAGCCCGGGCGCTCGGTGTCCCCCCTCCCGGGCCGCGGGGAGCGGGCTCGGAGCCCAAGGAGGGGGCTCGCTGCGAGAGGCAGCCCGCGGGCGGGGGGGCTGCCCTAAAACACTTCCAGGAAAAGATTAATGCAACCACCAGAAGGTTAGCGGAGTTATTATCCTTTTCAATTCATTTTTTACTTAAAAACGCAATGGAATTATTCATTTTATTAAGGAGGAAGAAATTAAAGATTAGGCTTTAGGCGGTATTTTACCTCCCTCTAATCGCCTCTGGGATCGGATTGGAGTAATCCTGACGACGAGATGAATTCGCCGGTGACTGGGATTTGGAGTGCATGTGGAGATACGTTATGATAATAACGCAAGTGAGCAATATCAAGAACATAGCTTAGGAGTGAATGAAACACAAAACCGATTACGGGGAAAAAGAGAACAGCAGCAATCCCGGGCAGAACACCAAATCGACTGGAATCAAAACTTTTGCCCTTAATTCCTCCTCCGAGGGTTTGTAACTCTGGGAGGCCGGCGGGGCCGCTCCTTCCCCCGCCGGCTCCTTCTGCCGGGCCCCGGTACGAGCCGCCGGGCTGGAGAGAGAGCTCCGGACCCGGGCAGGGGAGGCGGTCCTGCCCCCAGCCCGCCGTGCCCCTTGAAAAACCAAAACCGGCCAAGAGGTTACTTTTCGCCACCCTCAGAGCCTGTAAATCTCTCTGCGCCGGGAAAAAAAAAAATATTAAAAAAAATTTTAAAAACCCCAAACAAACCAACAAACAAAAAAGACCCCACAACCCCAAACAAACAAACGAAAAAACCCCAATTCCCTGCAAGGACAAGCAGGACTGCAGGATATTCGCGGCTCGGCAGCTATGTGATACCGCTAAACGGATGCGGTCCCAGAGCAAGGCGAAGATAAATCCGGGACAGGACTGCTAAAATGTATCGGCATTGATTTTAATAAATCTGTCTATATCGCGGGAAACTCCAGCACGAGCATCTCTGAGATGGAAGAGAATGACTTTCAAAAAAAAAAAAAAAAAGAAAAATAATTAAAATAATTTTTTAAAATTGCCTTTTAGATTGCAATTCAATAATCAGGCACGAATATGAGGTTTAGTGTGCGGTACGGAAAGAAAGCGCGGCATATCCGTAAAGAAGTAACGAATAATGCAGCTCCCGCTTCTCCAAGCGTGTATCAGAATTGAGGAGGCCAGTATAATTGTAATGGCAGGGCTGTAATTGCTGCTTTGGGATATTTACCCTGCTCAAATGACACTACATATTTTACTTTCAAACACATGTCAAAAAGTCAATCCCAAAAAGACCAGTTAAGAGCAAGCTGTTAACATATTAAGTATATGGGATTTGAAGCCTCTAAAACCCACTCAACAATAATTCCCTTCTTCAGCACCAATCAAGAGGAAATTTGCCTAGATTGAATTAAATGTAAATTGCTCTGAAGGAGGAAACTCTCCTCTGGCAGGCACCAAATAAGCGGCAGACACCGGCACCCCGGAGAAGCGGGGCAGCCGCCCCGCACGGCGCTGGGGGGACATGGCTCCGGCCACCCCGCGTCCCCCCACCTCTCCCCACTCCGCGGGTGGGTGACACGGGCCGAGCCGGGGCTGGCGGTGCCGGTGGCAGCAGGTAAGAGGCGGGCGGCTGCGGGAACCCGACCCGGGGCGGCAATTACGGTCTTAACGCCGCGACCCATCTGCCGGGGGGGGGGGGGGGGGGTGAGCCCCCCAGCCCGGCCGAGGGGACACAGGGAGCGGGGCTGGAGCAGAGCACCGCGGGGGGGACTCCTGCACGGCTCGGGCCCCTCCTCTGCCCCAATCTTGTCCCCACGGCTGTGTCCACTCGGGGGTCAGTCCCATGCGCCCGGGGCACCGAGGGGACGGGGCGGACACGGAGGTCGCAGGACGCGCTGGGGGCATCCCCGGCGGGGAGGGATGCCAGGGCCCCCGCCCGCCGTCGGACGCCTGTCCCGGGAGCTGGGGGGCATCTCTGCCTCCCGTCCCCGCAGCTCCCGGCTGCCCAGGTACCGCCATCCTCCTCAAACGGGGCCGCGGTGACCCAGGGCGGCCCGGGTGATGCTCCCTCCATCCGTCCCTCCATGGCCGCCTCCCCAGGGCTCCAGCCCTTCCTCCCGGCTCCCCCTTCCCCCCAAGCGGATTGTCCCGGGCCGGGGGACACACCGCCTGTTGCAGCCCCCCCAGCCGGTACCCGAGCAGCGGCAGCCGGGCCTCCCTGCCTCGCTGGAGGCTTCTCTCCCCCGGCAAAACCCAGGACCCGCTTCCTCCCTCCCCCGGCCCCGGAGAAGGGCAGTGCTGGGCCGCAGGATGGAGGCTGCCCCGTGGGCCCCTCCACCGGAGAAAGTGCCCGTCTCTGCCCCCCCGGTGCCCCGCCGGCTCCCGGAGCGGAGGGGCTGGGGAGAGTGAAGGGACCCACGGCTGCTCCCGGAGATTTCGGAGGCGGCCGAGTGAACCCCAGGCCGACGGGAGGAACGGGACCTTGTTCTGAGCCCGAGCCGTCGTCTGGAGATGGCGGTGGGACGGGGGGTGAATACAGAAAGACCCTTGCCCACCGCTGTCCCCCTCCTCTCCCCGACCCCCCGCTTCTCTGGAGCGACAAACAGCCGGGCTCTGGGGCTGCTCGCACGGAGCAGGACGGCCAAGCTCCGTTTAAACTCCCGGGGAGGGCATCTCTTTCGGTGCAGAGACGCCTGCAAGCAATGTGTGTGCTGTGTGCTTCTTCGTCTATCTATACCCACTCCGAGTTTTCGGTACTTGTGTTGTGCGTGTGTGTTATTTACGGTCAGAGTAGCTATACCTTGCGTGTACGCAGGCTACTTTACATATTATATATTAAAAAAAAAAAAACCGTAATGCTTCAGATTTAAGAGGCACTCCCTCTTCCTACCTCCTTTTCCTTCTCTTCCCCAGCCCCAGGTTTCGATTCACCCTTCTGCTCACAAGCACTCGTTGGCTTTGCCCCGGGTGGTTCCCGCATACCCACGCGTTGCTCTCGCCGGCTGCTTGTCGCAAGTTCCCCGCTCACTTGTTTACTGTGTTTTCCAAAAGCTCATCGCCACCTGACCTTGCTCTTAAAAGCGGTGAGCAGACCAGGAGCAGTCACAGGACCAGAGCAGCCATCTCCTTCCTTCCCTCCCTCAGACACACACACACACGCACACCCACGCACAAAGAGAGCTCGGGCTGGAAAGTGGCAAGGAAACAAACAGCTTCCCCTCCAGCCGCTTCTTCTGCAGCACCTCGTTTGACAAATACCCTGGCGCTTGCCCTTGAATCGGGTTTCACATCCCTATTTAGCACTTGGACAATGATTTTAGATGATGTCACTTAAAGCCAAACAAGAAAATTGATCTCGGATTTGCTCGGCCTCTAAAGCCTGGTTAAGCAGATTGCAAATAATAATAATAATAAAAAAAAGAGAGAGAGAGAGGGAGGCAGAGGGGAGAGAGGCGAGAAGGAGGGAGAGACGCCTCCTTCCCTGGGCGGGGGAGGCGCGGGCGCCAATGAAAAGTAGCCGCTTACTGGGGGGGGAAAAACTTTTCCTGTTGACTGTTGGAAGCGAATTGAGCAATTATCTAGTTTACCTTCTCCTCTTGGAAGTTAACGATTGGCGAGATCTTGGCTGCGTTATTGACACAACACTTTCTATTGATAGAAATAAGTAGCGATTGTCCCGAGTCACTGGTGCGCCAAAGTACACGGTGATGGGCTGGCGTGAGTCCACTGGACTGAGAAGGCTGGTTCCGCCGGCGGAGGCTGTGGTGATGGTGGCGGCGGCGATGCTGGTCTCCCTCCTCGCAGATCAGTGACAAGAAAAGGGGCAGAGAGAGTGAAAGAGAGAGAGAGAGAGGAGAGGAGGGAAAGAAAAAAAAAAAAAAAAAAGAAAAAAAAAAAAAAGAGGCGTCTACCAAAGCGGCTCAAACCGGGCGAACAAATGCAATCCAGCCATGGACAATAGTGGCCACCACACGGCGACCAAAATCCTAGCGACTCCTCCGGCCAGAGAAAGCCTGTCTGCCAGGAGCAACATGATCAGCACGCCCAAGCCCCTCGCCTTCTCCATTGAGCGCATCATGGCGCGGACGCCAGAGCCCCGCTCCATCCCCGTCCCGCAGCTCCTCCACGGCTCCGTGGCCAAAGGCGACCCCAAGCACCCGCTGCACCTCAACTCCTCCATCCCCTGCATGATCCCTTTTGTCCCGGTGGCGTACGACCCCCTGCCCAAAGCGGCGGCGGCCGGAGCGGAACCCAGGAAGGCTCACTTAGACTCCTCTTCCTCGCCCTCCTTTAGCTGCGGCGATCTCTTGAACTGTGCCCTGAGCTTGAAAGGAGATTTCCCCCGCGATGCCCTGCCCTTGCAGCAGTACAAACTGGTAAGACCCCGAGTGGTCAATCACTCCTCCTTCCACGCCATGGGAGCCCTGTGCTATTTCAACCGAGGCGACAGCCCTTGTCACCCGTCCTCCAGTGTCAACATCCACCCGGTGGCTTCTTATTTCCTCAGCTCCCCGCTGCACCCGCAGCCCAAGGCTTACCTGGCGGAGCGGAACAAGCTGGTGCTGCCGGCGGTGGAGAAGTACCCGGCGGGGGTAGCCTTCAAGGACTTGTCGCAGGCTCAGCTGCAGCACTACATGAAGGAGAGCGCTCAGCTCCTCTCCGAAAAAATCGCCTACAAGACCTCGGAGTTCAGCCGCGGCTCCCCGAGCACCAAGCCCAAAGTTTTCACCTGTGAAGTTTGTGGAAAGGCAAGTAGAGCCGCAGCCCCTTCCCCTGCTCCCCAGCCCCCCCCCCCCCGCCCGCCGCCGGGTTGTCCCTCTCTCTCTTGATTTTTTTAAAACGTCCCCTCGACGCTCTCCTCTTCTAATCCCAATTTTTCTTTTTATTTTTTTCTTTTTTTTTTTTTTGTCTGATTTCACTCTCAAGGTATTTAATGCACATTATAACTTAACTCGCCATATGCCGGTGCACACGGGAGCCAGACCCTTTGTTTGCAAAGTTTGCGGGAAGGGCTTCAGGCAGGCGAGCACGCTTTGCCGGCACAAGATCATCCACACCCAGGGCTCCCCAGCCCCCCCCCCCCCGCCCGCCGCCGGGTTGTCCCTCTCTCTCTTGATTTTTTTAAAACGTCCCCTCGACGCTCTCCTCTTCTAATCCCAATTTTTCTTTTTATTTTTTTCTTTTTTTTTTTTTTGTCTGATTTCACTCTCAAGGTATTTAATGCACATTATAACTTAACTCGCCATATGCCGGTGCACACGGGAGCCAGACCCTTTGTTTGCAAAGTTTGCGGGAAGGGCTTCAGGCAGGCGAGCACGCTTTGCCGGCACAAGATCATCCACACCCAGGTGA